GGTAATGTGAAGTTGGCATTGACATTCATTCTCAAGGACAGATTATTGTCTGAAAGAAAGATGGTTTCCAGATTTTGAAGTGCCGAGAACATGTCAGCTTCTACTAAATCACAAAATGATTTGATGATAAATCAAGATACCAAAGATTTACTAAATTAGCAATTGAGTTAGAAATTGAGCCCTGGAGTTTATTGTTTGACAAATCTAGATCTCTGAGTGATTTTTGCTGGAATTGATTTATTTGACCTTGAAATTGGTTATGATGGAGATACAACTGCTCTAACAAAGGTAGGGTGAAAATCCAAGGTGGCAACGTGCCATTAAGTAAGTTATAAGATAACTCTAGATACATTAGTTTGGAAAACCTACTTGCATGAAAAGGAATGGGACCAGAAAACTGATTAAATGAAAGGTCAATAGAGATAAGTTGGGTGAGGTTTGCAAGTGATGGTGGAATTTGTCCACTAAGATTGCTAGAATAGAGGTCTAGGTCAGTTAGTTGAGATAAGTTCCCAATGGAAGCTGGAATGGAACCTTTCAAGTTGCATTCAAGACCTAGAGACTGTAATGACTTTAAATCTCCTATGGACTCTGGCAATCGACTTCCGCAATCCATATCACTTAAAAACAACTGTTGGAGAGGACTGCTCCAATTGGAACTTGGAAGATCAATAATAAGGTTTCGCTCTCCAATAGATCCACTTAAATAAAAATTCTTGAGATTTGGAAAGCGAAAAATACTGTTTGGAAAGTTTCCTCTTAACGCACTCTCCAAAAGATTAAGAGTAGTCAAAGAAGAAGAGAGATTCATGAAGAAACGAGGATTAACAGATGTCATGTTCACTCCACCAAGCTCAAGTTCTCTCACCTCACTCAAGTTATGAACAAGATTTTTGAGGGTAGTTGTTTCAAGGATCAAGTCAGAAGGTTCATTAGAGAGATTGAGAGAAACTAACTTGGGTAGGTGAGCAATTTCTGCTGGAACTTGACCCGAAAACTGAGAATAAGAGATGTCAAGATGCTTTAGTCTAGTAAACTGACTGATTTCTGGTGGAATCTTGGAAAACCTAAAATCATTCGAGGCAAGATTGAGGCTCTGCAGGTTTCTGAGGAAGAAAAGAGTGCTGTTGGAAGGAAAGGTGCCATAAAGGAAACTGCAGCTGAGATTAAGGGCAATTACATGGCCTGTGACATTATCACAGCTAACCCCATCCCAAGAACAACAGTCTATACCTTCCTTCCATGACTCAATCTTAGAATAATTAGGTTTAGTATAAAAATGATCCCCACAATAATATGGATCCGAAATAGTGTAATTGATGGAGAAGGATGTCTTGAATTGCAGCAAAGCAAGAGCCTCCTCATGAGAGCAGAGATGCGTTGTTGAGAAGGAAGAAGCATGTATAGAGGATGAGAAGGCAGTTTTAAGACAGAGGAAGACAAAAAGGAGGCAGAGTGGTGGAGAGAGCTTTGTGAAGATCCTCATATCTTTGTTTGGCGCAATAGAGTACTCAAGAAGAGTATATATAGTGTTTAAATCTGAGGTATGCTAATAATTGAAGAGGAGTGCTAGGGACACTCGCCTCCTGCACTCACCGGCCAACACTTTCACTTTTATTGGGCCATGTTATTCTTGTTGGTAAGAGCGAAGCCAAAACAGCCTTACGTGGCCCAATGAAAAGGGAAGTGTTGGCTTCAAAATAAATGAATATATTCCATCAAAATAAAAATAAATGAATATAGAACGTAATAGTGACGTGATGTCATTTTTTAATCTACTTTTTAATTTCTATTTTATTTATTATATTGAAATTAGATAGAGTAATTAAGAATTATAATCACATTATTAATATGTTTTCAATTAATAATTTAAATCTCAGTGGAAAATTATTATTTTTGTTATATTATGATGTAAAAAGAAAGTATTTCTCTCCTTTAAGAATTAGAATTAATAATTTAAAAAAAATATTTATTTACATTGCTTAATATATATACATCTATAAAAAAACAAATATTAGCAGATGAATATTAATATTAAAAAATTATTTAATGTAATTTACAATAGTAGATTGTAGAATC